CACACACACACACTCACTCACTCACTCACTCACTCACCTCCAAGAAAGATGTAGTTAGGTCAGTCAGTTCAGATTGAAGTTCTGGGACTAGAGACTAGAGATTTCAGGGTTTTTAATATACACGTGAAAAGGAAATTCCAATTTGGGTGATCACTTGACCTCAAAGGCCCACCCACCTTTGGAGAAGGGATTATTTACTTTAATCCCTCAATCAACAAGCATTTATTAAGCATATAATGTGACAGGTATCATTCTAAATGCCCAGATGAGGATTCAAAGACAAGTCTCTGCCCTCAAGGATTTACATTCTAATAGAAGATAAAAACCCAAAATGGGAAGTGGGAGGAGAGAAGGTAATTGCTTCAACCTCACTTGCTCTTTTGTTTTGTAGCTCCGAGAAATACCTCTTTATGTTGGAATTAAGTGTATTTTAGTTATGCTTTTTGGAATATTGCAACTAGAAAGTTTGACCCCTTTAATCTTCATCAAGACTTTGGTCCTCTTGACATTACCTTCATTTGCCCTCTCTATGTCTAATTTGTTCACACTAATTTGCATGTTTCCTCCTCCATTAGAATGTGAGCTCCTAGAGGACCTGACTATAGTTTTTGCTTTTCTTTGAAAGTATTGAAGCTAGCAGTATAAATGCTTACAAACGAGTAGATATAATCCAAATACCAGAAAAAATGAAGGAGTTTTCTGAAAACGGATGTGGGAGGGAATCGGTATATCTAAAGTCCAGAAGGTGCAAACATAAAGACACAATCTGTAACTTTTAAAGTGTGAAGGGAGGAAATATATATGCCATTTTAGAAACGTTACCTGACTAAATAGCTAATTTTTCCCCCTTAAATCCTAACCTGCTACTACTTTCCCTATTACAGTAGATGATAACACTAAACTTCTCATTGCTATCTTTTACCTCTCAGAGGCAGAATGTTCAATAAATCCAAAGATCTAAGTTAGTGAGGGATGGACTCATTATGTGACAAAAACTGCTAGAAAAATGGATAGCAATTAAACAAAAAGTAGATTTAAACCTACACT